AACTTGGAGTATTTTCTAAAAGCAAATTTTCAAAAATCAATATTGTTTATTGATAATGGTTTAGTATGTTTATTAAGATCAAGTACTCTATTATTATTTATTTATTTATTTATTTATTTATTTAAATATATAGCCCACAGATTTCTCCAAGAGGACTCAAAAATACAATTATTTGACATAATGAATAACAATTAAAATATATACAAAATTACAATATATAGTTAGTAACATAAAATGCTAAGATAAAATTTCATATAATGCAGAATGTAACAATAATATTTATAAACAGAAAATAATGAGATATTTGAAAGAAAATAAAAAGATTAACTTGTGCAGATGGAGATTATTTGATTAGGTGAAGTGTTGTGAATGTCTATTTCATTATTAATTAAGTTAAAGTTAGAGGACATTAGTAAAATTGGCGAATTTAAGAGAGAATTAGATTTAGGGGTAGGATAATTGAAAAATAATTGTGAACGCGAAGATAGCCTTGGAACATTAAAGGATAGTTGATTGAGAATAAGAGGACAGTCTATAGAATTATTGCAAAGCTTAAATAAGAACATAATTGTACAGATAAATCGACGTGAGGCAAGGGAAGGAATACCAAATTCTTTTAGTAAAGTGTTGTGGTCAAAGCCACGTTCAGGGTAAATTTTATATGTTTTATAATAAAGGTATTTCAGAAATTTTCGCTGAACCTTCTCTATCGCATCAGAGTTGTTGATATGATGAGGATACCAAATAATCGAACCGTATTCTAATTTTGAACGTACAATAGAATAGTACATGCAAAGAAGTGCATTGGTAGACTTAAATTGTTTACAATTTCTTAGTATCAAACCTAAAGATTGATGTGCTCTATAACAAATATCAGTAACATGATCTGTGAAAAACAAACCAGAATCAAATAGAACACCTAAATCGGAAATTTTATTACATCTATCAATGCTGGTGTTAGAAATTTTATAATCAAAAAGTATTGGAACGCGCTTATGTGTAAAACTAAGAATCTTGCACTTTGATATATTTAGATGTAATTTGTTATAGATACACCAAGATTGGAAAAGGTCAAGTTGAGACTGTAATAATAAGCAGTCATCAATAGAATTTATTTTGAGATATAGTTTCAGATCATCTGCAAATAATGAATGTGGACAGTTAATAGTATCAGAAATGTCATTAATAAAAATAATAAATAATAGTGGACCAAGAATGGATCCCTGAGGAACTCCTGAACTAATATTTTCAATGTTGCTCAAGAATCCATTAAAAAACCAAGTAAATCGTCTAATTTTAATTTTAACAAACGTCAAAAAAAACTACTCATTTTCTCAAAGTTTGATGAAATTTTAAAGTTACAGGAGGGGTCGTAGGGCTAAAAAATTTTAGTATGATCTATAAGACTATGGTATCTACCGCCAAAAAAATAATAATAAAAATCGTCAAAAAAATTTTTTTAACACTTTATTACAAGAAAACCGATCTCTACCAGAAACTAATCAGCACGATTCCGTCGCACAAAACTGACAAACAATAGTCCCCATCAAGGTGCACCGAATGGATTCTAAATTTTTAAATATTTTCCACAGCAATAAAGTGCATTCTAGAAATACTTAATTTACTATACCCAAAAGCATAGAGTTTTGAAAGTGATATGGTTTAAAGTGATAAATTTGCGTTACTTCTTAATATTGTGATCATAAATATAATATGATGTAAATTTCAAAAGAAACAGTAATGCATGTTAAATTTAAATTTATATTTTGAAGAAACATAAAATATCCTCCCGAACATGAAGATAAATGACTACATCATATCGTTAAGTAAATTACATTCGAAAAACACAACACCACGCGGTGCATGGATCCGAAATATTATGTTTGAATTAAAAAAGTCATTTGTACAAATTACGGCATTAATAACATTATGTTAACCTCATTTTTCGCTATCTTGGCACATTCATTTATAAACCGTCCTCATAAGTCACAGGAGGCGGCGGTACACAAAATAGCTTTTACGGCATAACACCATTAATCTTTTCACGATTTATAACTCGAGTTTTTCCTACGACAACTTGAAAATTCGCACACACGCCCGCCAGCGACTTCGGAAGTCGATTCGCGAACGATTTGGCCGCGATGCGATGTCGTCAATAAAAAATGCGTTTGTTTCATTCCTCGTATCGAAATGAAAAACGTGAGATTCATTATTATTATCCCATATGGCATTTTATTATGTTGGCAGGTCTAATAAAACTCGATTGTTTATATCAGGGACGTGCAGAAAAGTCCAGCGGTAGGTCGAACTCACTTTGGATAACGGATGGGCAATAAATAATAAGTAGAGTTTCAATGTTATGGGCTTATTTTAGGAGGATACGGTCCCAAATGGTGGTATCAGTTTTGATATATTTTGCATAAACCTTTTAATCAAAATAAAAAATGAGATACACGACAAAGTATAACTGATATATGCATCCTGTATAAAAAACAACTCTTAGCGTGTTTTAGTTTTTTTAAGTAACCTTCTTAATTTCTATGCAAACTAACTATAATCAAACACACATATATATATATATATATATATATATATATATATATATATATATATATATATATATATATTGAGACGTTTCGACAGGCAATTATATAACATCATCAGTGTAATGTATCAATGTAACGTACTAATCATTTTGTGTCTGCATTTTGTAGATATAACATTCCAGGCGTATCGACCCGGGCGCCAAAGCAACCGGGTCGACGACTTTGTGTGTTAACGTGCCTAAAAAATCAGGACAGTGCTTCATGGCAGAGTTCTATAAATTTTCAAATATGGAATTCTGGATATCATATAAAGGAATAAATAAATAAATAAATATAACAAGTATATATATTTTACACTTAACACTACATAATATCTTTTTAAATATTTTTACTTCGGGAACACGGAGTAACTAGCATCCAAGGCTAATATTACATCCAGTTATATAGAGCTCGATTTTGTCCTACTTTGTCTTTCCCCTTTATAGAAAAAACAATATTCGTTCAAAATTTATAAACATCGAGATTTCTACTTCTTGACAAAATATAAAAATGTATTAAATTTGAATAAATATATGTGAACAATAATGAGCAACCATTTTAAGAATTACAAGAATGCGAATGAATAAATAATGATACGAGTGCCAATAAAACAACCTGTAATATGATATGATATGAAAATCATAATGAGATAATAAGACGACAAAATTCCTCGTTCCCTGCCACTGAAATACGCGCACGCCAATGTCGTCATCTCGCAGGCCGATGAGTTTTTAATGAAGTGTGTGTCTAAAAACAAGGTGAAACCTCATTACGACCGTAAAAAATCATTCATGTGTGCAGAAAGAATTGACAGCAATAAATCCATTGAGATAATGAGAAATATATTGAAATGAGAGGCTTCACCGAATATAAATTATATTCTTACGTTTATTGTTATTACTTATAAATAAATCATGCAAGGTTTCATTCATAATTGTTGAGTACTGACCAATAGCGATAATAGAGAAATCATTAATTATTAACTGGTTTATTAAAATAACGTTTCGTAACTAGGACAATTTCGCATATTGCATATCTTGAATTTATCCTGATATCCAACCCACGTAAAAAATGAATAATATAAAATATAAATCAAAACAAAACTCCCCTAAAAAATATCATACGTTGAAAAATGAGTCTAAATCTGACTATCGATTCGAAATTCCAGACTGCATACTCCCAATTGTCACCAGATTTAGAATGAACACGAACAAATGTACTGTATACGCAGAGCAAACACAAAAATATAAAAAGACAACAAAATAATCAGAAAAGAAAGTCACATATAGAAATATGTAAATTTGTCTGTTTCGAAAGAATGGTTTTTTCTATGTATTGTAATAGGACATGTATCATCCTTTGTGACTAATGTGTGCATGTGTCGAATGCTGTTTGGTTACTGTCTTTAAATACTTAATGAGTCAAATGGTATTAAATCACTGTCTCTATTTAATTAATATTAATAACAAGAAATAGTTTGAACTTGTATAGGAACATCTACTGATTTCCATATGTAAATATTTATAATATGATTATAATGAAGACAAAATAAATAAACAGTGACCAGAAAGAAAGTATTAAAAAGAATCGGAGGTATAATTATTAAATGTAGAGTTGAGATATAAGAAATAACGAGTAATAATTATTAATTTGTACATGATATATTAAATATGGTTGCTAGAATAAATAAATAATTATTTAAATCGAAAACACTTAAAACATTAACATTGACGTTTTGAGATATCGGTGTCAACACTCCAAACTAGCATAGCGTTGTTATGGCATCGCCACGTTACGATACTTTTTTCATATGAATAGGTAAAAAAACTGCCAAAATTTTATGTATTTTTTTCACAGTTAGGCGATTCAGATATAAAACATAATCTAGAAAACGCACAAATTTTAAAAAAAAATAATAACGCTATATCAGTGTCGTTTTTATCGTAGATTTGGGCCCATGATTTTACTATGTCATAGTTTTTTTCTCTTTGACTCTGACTTGTCCTATTGTTAGCTACTACGACTTTTTTGCATAAATCTGAATTGTTAATACTTTAAACAGATGATCTAGAAACCCCACCATGGTTACCAAAAATTAAACTAGATATAATTTAATATAAAATAAAATTAGACAGTCCTAATTCAACTGCCAAGTTGCAAACGTATTTTAAAAAAAATGACATCTGGGTTCTTGTGTATTTTGTGTAAAATGCGTAAAGTTAATGAAGGTTAAAGTTATTATGATTTTTTTTATTTGAAGCTAATATTCTTAGAAACAACATACAAACAACATAGGATCCGGAAATAAGGAAGCATATTTTGGCATCGACATCTTTACAAACTGGTAACGTAGAACTGCATATATGGTTATAAATCTAATATCTTATTTCTAATTTTGATAAAATATCAACTCACCTCGTCCATGAAGTCCTCTATCTTTATTTCAGCACATGAGTCCTGGTATGATGAACACTGGAAGGCCTGTAAAGAAATACCGCGAGCATTAATACACTATTTAAAAGATCGATCACCAATCAATTAAAATGCAACTCATGATATGTAATGACAAGAGAAAACGCGGAAGAATTTCAAATCAAATCTCAATTACGAATTGTGTTGGTAATAGTCACGAAGAATAGAACTGATTATAAGGTAATATATGATGTAGGCGTCGGTAATGGAAAATGTAAAGCCGTTTTAGGACTAACAAAAAGATTAAGGCAAGTGGTATCAGAAGTTAGAAATGTTTTTAAAGTCAGGAATGTTTTTAAAGTCAAACAATGATAAGTGTTTTTTTTGTAATTTTTGCCATTTATTTCTACAATATTACTATAGTTTTATCGTTCATTAAATCTTGAAAATTTCCTTTGACAAACTCTTAAAAGAATTATCAAAATCCGAAAAACCTTTTAGGAGGAGTATCAATTAATAGATCATTACAGAAGAATTTTATAATAATAATAATATAAATTTTATACATAATATAAATAAATGTATGTATAGGTTTGTGTGTAATTTTTACGCAATCAAAAACTATACATCATTATAATAGTAAGTGACCTTTCACATGTGTATTACATTTAGGGAACAGTAATTGAATCTCTTAGAAAACGATGATCAATAGGACATTTGACTAGCTGATGCACCTAATACAGCTAATTTTTCTTTATAAGAACTACATGTAACAAAACTGCATTTTTGTTCAAATTTTTAATTGAAAGTATAACACGGCAAGGAGTGTTATTTAGTTTAGCTATTTCAAGACCTCAGCATTAGAAAAATTATTTTACTTTAGTTTAAGATTACACACAAAATCTTAAAAAACATTATATGATATATGTTATATTTCAATATGTTCGATTATCCTGGTCTCTTTTTATTCATCGATAACCAACAGATATTATAATTCAGAGTCTATTACATTCGAATCAACGATTTTTATGTCCAATCCAAAAAGAGCCTAACGATCATATAGTACGTACAATCGGAATGTACGGCTTTTGTATACCGAGCTATTACAGATTAATGAATTATTTGATTTATGAAATGTATGCCTGTCGTACTGATATGAAATATTACTAGATTTTTGAAGCATATCAATCGCCATAGGCTTGTATATAGATATTCGTTTAGCTCTGTATATTTTTGAATGTCAATATAGCACCAACGGATTGATGTATTTTGAATTATTTGGATTTATGCGGATCATTATACGCATTTATTTTTAAACGAATTTATTTATTCAGCACCTGATGCACGCAAAACGTCCATAACGAAAGCTTTGTAAATGAAAAAATCGAATAATATTATGTATTTTTAATTTTAATTTATATATTGCCATTTTGAAACATTATATATATACATAAATGATTTGCATATATACATTTAATATCCTTTAAGCACACTATTAGTGCAAAATATAGTGATGAAGAAAGACAATAAACCCAAAAATATCATACCAAAAATTTGATTTAAAGTGAAGCTTTACTGTGAACTTTACTCCAAGTAGTTTATATTTTAGTCGTTATTTTTAAAAAAATACATCAAGTTATATTAAACATAAAAATATGTTTAGTATTTGTATATGCAGGAGTAATTTTTAACAGTAGACAGAACTGTTTTTTGTAATCTTTGAAATGTTTTGATTAATTTCTTACAAACTAGGCCGCTAGTCCATTATCTTTGAGATGATATTATTATTAGATATTTCAAATTGCTATGTGATATATATTGCAACAATTCCCCATAAAAACTGACATAAATACTGCTTGATACCAGGTTGCCCAAGATCAGGTTTTTTTTTTACTTTTTCCAATAGATCTCCGAAACCGCTAAATCTGCCTTTCCAAAAAATTAATCAGTTCTTCGTCTTGTCAATACAAGTAAAATGTCTTTTAAATTATTAAAATCGGACACTCCATTCTCTTAAAAATTGTGTTAAGATTTTCGAAACGGCTGGACCCGCCTTTGCCAAAAACAAATCATCACGTCTCCTAATCAAGAGGAATCGATTGTTTTTTTGATTCATTGAAATCGAATAAACCGTGTTATCAAAATCGTCGACGAAAATTTGTATCAGACCACACACACGCACATACATTCATTTTTTGAAGGTCTGCCAAAATGTTCAGAAACATCTGAAACGTAAAGATATATAAAAAATTTCATTTTTGATTTTTTGGGATTACTATAACTTATCCTACGGAAAGTTAAAAATTGAATTAGTTACAGTGCAAATGTGAAGACAACAATTCCTGTCCTAATATTTCAAATGCAAATATTTCCCAGCTCGAATATTCTCCCATAAAACATGACTTCGCACCATTTGTCAGCACATATGTCCATTTCTAGCAAAGATGACTTTCTTGTCGCCATTTGCACTCTATAAAATATGCATAAAGACTTTCCACGACTTCGGGGTCGTCTGTTTACCATACAAGTAAAACCACCACTTTGTTTTCAGAATTTAGTTTTCCCCAACAGAGTTTATAAGCCAATGATCCTGTTTTCGGTCTAAGGTATTAGACTAATCCGTATATTTCCTGAGTGTATGTGTATGAATACATTAGCATTTTAATCAAAGAGCCCATCTATACAAAGATAGAGTCGAAACCGCATGGCATCCAATCAGTGTTAACTATAGAAATTCAAAATTGGCTCGGACTGTGTGTGTCATCGATCCCTGGTATCGTTTACGATAATGGTAGTAAAGGAGAGGTCTTAAGAACAAAAAGGTTGGCGCTCAGACTTAGAGGATAGTTAGTGGAATCAATCACCTAAGGTACAAAATTAATGCAAATTGCAGTTGACACTAAGACGAATCCTCATTATTGTGAACAACATCTTGAAACAATTGATCTAACTGAACCATCTGCATATCGTACAAACATTTTTTTACATTTCAATTTATCGGTTCAGCATTAAATGTAGAATAATGACTTTTTTTATGAACAGCAATCACAACTATTCTTATTTTTAATCAGAACTGGTCTGATGTAAGTTCCATGAGTTGTTATGTTAAAATTCCTCAACAACCTTTTAATAAACCTAATAGAAGCATTATTAGAAGGATTAACCTATTGGTGCTCTTTTCTCTTTATGATATTATTATTAGATAGTAATAATAATGATATATACAGCAGCAGCAATGGCAGTAATTGGTAATCAGTTTTCACTGGAAAATATGCATCTAAATATAACTTCAAGTGAAATTAGTTTTACTTGATTGATTAGTTTATTTTTTCACTTAAAACCATATTTATATGTATATTTTCAAGTAAAAACTGATTACCAATGCTGTTTTATATCAGGCTGACCAATGTGAATATATTAAGCCTGAAATCTAGAAATTGCAAGGCAAAAGATTTCATCATTTTAGCTACAAAAAAGCCGCATGATAAATATAACAAAATTCTAATACAAATTAGAAAATTCCTGAATGTTGAATCAATTATCTGCAACAAAGTTAAATCTACATAATTCACTATACAAACTATAAACTACCTAATCATACTCCAATATGTGCCTAATAATTAACCTAATAACAATCCAATACGTAATTTGTGTTTTTATAAATATCTGATTATTCTTTTAGTTTTTCTGTGGCGTTTAATTTCACCTGATAAGTTAGAAAAAATGGTTTGTGAATTAATAGATACTGAATGTCTGATAATGTTCAATAATTATATTTTGACCGATTTCAGCCCAATAATTAGAACAACTATAAAATTGATGATTTTTCATTTGTTGAGTACTAGACATAAGCTATTCTTTATTCAGAGAAATAAACGTACAGAAATGCAGTTATAATATATTAATAACTAGAAATGTCATTTACTTAAATGACAATAAACCTAGGATGCTCTTAAATTTTTCATGTAGCATTGTCCACTAAATTTTCCTTTATCGAATGCATTTTATCGAAATTGACTTTACTTGAATAAGATTGTTACTTGTTCAAACCATAAGGAACAGTAATAGTATTATATATCAAATATTCTAATATTTATAAATTCAAATAATGCTTATGTTGTCATTGTTTCAATTATTTGCATATATCAAAAGTCAATGTTCAACATTTTCTAAAACTGGAAGACCAGACAAATTATACAGTTACTCAGCTTCTTGAGACACCAGTTTCAAGAAAATTGAACCAAAAGTTTCCAATAGACAATATTCAAGATCCAATAGATAATATTCAATTAACATAATTAGTGAATGACTTAATGGAGTGACAACTATTGATATATTAAAATTTAGCACAATAATTGCATATGATGTTTATAAGTGAGAATGAAGGAATTCAGCCAAGTAGTTCATAAGAAGTTGTATTTTGATTGTGTTCAAAAATCAAAACAATAATAAAAAAATCGAAAGTTTTCAATCTGAGTGGCTGTATAATTTAATTTAAAAATAATAATTTAAACCATTTACAACTTTCATTACAAGTGCTTATCATTAATGTGACCTCCTAAGTTTGGCATCATTGCTTTAGGTTTAGAATAGATATTTATCAGACGACGCCTGGTGTATTTTATTTGCTTTTGCCGGAAATTAGATTTTCCAATATCGTATTCCTTGTTCCGCTATCTCATACTTTGGACGGAGAAAGGTGACCCTGGGTCACCACATGTTATAAGCTTGAATGGTAAAGTGGCAGCACTTCCATTATTTAAGATTTATTAGTTTTGGTATTTAATATTACTATTGCTTACCATGTGAACTAATTGATTGACTAAGGCACTTCATATAGATTATGTAGACTTTTAACTGAACTTTTCAAATTTCATTAATACAAATAGATACAGCTTTGTTACAAATGTAACATCTAACATTTGTATTATTTTGATCAATAATAATAATAATAATTATTATTATTATTAATGGCCTTTATATTTTAAGAGTTGGCCACTAACATCTCGGTCAATTTTAGTACCATTTTTGTTTCATATAAATCCTGTACTGTACTGTATTTTTGTCAA